GGAGGATTTTGAAGGATTGAGGGAGAGTGATTTTTGAGCACTAGATGATTTCGAAGGATTGAGGTAGAATGGAGATTGTAGTACAGGATTTTGGAAGATTATTTTTGTAATGGCTGCTGAGGGTGGTACCATTCTATTATGTTTTACCTGTGAAGGTAATAACTGTACTCCATTGTGCTGCACTTGTGCAAATACATGTGGGTTGGCAGCCAAAAATAGCTTTGTTCAGTGTACACAGGTACATGCACACATGTACATATATGCATGGTGTGTAATAATTTTTAGTAATTTATAATAGTAATAAATGAATGATAATAATAATAATAACACAAGGCCGTGCCTAACACTGTTCACCAAAGTTGCCCTCCATTGTTTACTGCTGGTCACAAATTTTAGCAGCAATCAGCATCGCGATGCGTGTACTTACTCCATAGGGTTTGTACACTGGAGGATTTTCAAGGATTGAGGAAAAGATTATCCCTTACCGGAAACTAAAGTGGGAAATTTTGGAGGATTGAGGAAGAATGCATTTTTTTGTACCCAGCTTATTGGAGGATTTTGGAGAATGGAGGAAGGTGACCAACAGAAAGGTCCAAGGGGGTTAGGGTTAGCATTGGTACATTTTGACAGTTGGAAAGTTCCAGATCAGCGTTGCATTTATTGTTTCTCACCCCCACAAAGAAGGGGAAGGGAAGGTGACCAGAAGGCTTGTCTTCTGCATCCACTCAGCGGACACACTCTCAACTCTGTGGGAAGAGGCCTTGCCCGACACACTGGCTCTAGTTTCTTTACTAGTTCTTGACTTTATTTTTCTGTTGTCAGTGTTGCCACCGGTGCTGGTCCCCCGACAAACGGACGTCCCTACAGAGCTGCCTGCTCTTGATGACCCAAGCAGTATGGTTCCAGAAAATGCTAATTACCCAGTGGGTATGGAACCACAGAACCTTCTCCAACCAGGTAAAAGGAGATGCTTGTGGGGGGTTGGTAGGGGAGGAAGTGAACAGTTGTACCCATCATGATGAAAAGAATTACAGAGTTTAAGCTTGTATTGATGTGCACATTTACCGTTGCGATACATTGGGTGAAAAACAAAACTGTAATATTCAATCTAACCGCATTTTTTCAACCAACTGTGACCAGCAACATGTTGCAAAAAATATGCAAAGCATTGCTTTGTTTGGTGTCTTTTCCGCTTCTAAAAAAAAAAAAGAGAAAGAAAGTTGTTCTGCTTCATCTATCAGCTTCAAATTAGTTTCTCATTGGCAGTCGTGTTTTTTCTCCATTGTAAACAAAGATGAGGTGAATCACGTTTGGTATCTCTGTGAATCAGCAATTAATTACCCCCTTACTTCCTCTTTTGCTTCTTCCCCCCCAATTTTGCATAAGTGGCACCGTGTTACGCCCTTAACCTTCCCCCCCCAACATATGAGAATAAGTTCCTGCCAATTCGGCCAAGATTTCTTTCCAAAATGAAGCTTCATTTAATAGTGTTCTTCCTGTGTTGGGTTAATGACCTGTACGATCCACTTACAAGCTTAGCAAGTTGGGTAATAAATTCTGATCTCACTACCGCCTTAGATAATTTGATTCCTCATTGTTTGTCATCACTTTGCCCTTTTTTTTGACAGTCGGAGAACAGATGATGAGTAACCATGTGGCAGAATTAGTATGAGCTGTGTGAAGTGAAAGTTTGGTTGAATTAACGAGAGAGTGCGCCTGGCCGCGTAACGTAGGGCATGTAGTCAGTGGGAACGTAAAGTGCAAACCTCTCATGCAACGTACCGTTGACATGTTCAAGGCTCACAGTGTGTCCGCTTCTGATTTGTGCTGACTACACCTGGATGAAAGGATTCCCAGTGTTTAATTTGCCCAAGTCCAAGTGTAGTCAGGATGTCTGATCACAGCGAGTTGTCTAAATTAGCCAGTGAGGATCGAGGTTCCAGGGTTCTGGCCACGGAATAATTTGGATCTTCCTGTGCCGGTAGTAGGCCCTTGCTAAACCCAGCCCTAGGAAGTTGGCAGATGACAGGATGGCCCCGGTATCATTCGTGTCGAAACCCAGACCAGCACCCCCCCTCCTCCTCCAATTCCTCCCCCATTGCCCCCTCCCCTCCCCTACTTGGAACTTTGATTGTGGTCCTAAGTACAGCACCCGTGCATTAATTAAACAAAAGATCACCGTTGTCTGTTGCTGGTATCGTTTAGTTAGAGTTACAAGGATGTGTAGCAATTTCCTTCCTGCACTTCCTTACAGCTTTAGATCACATAACGGTTAGTGTCTTTCCCTGAACCAAACACATGCTAGGTGTTGTAACCTAGTGTCCCCCCCCCCCCGAGAAAGAAAAGTACATATAGATAAATTTTCAAAGACTGGAATCACTCTGAGAAAAAATTTGTACAGTCTCATGCCACACGTAAAAATGAGGATCAATTAATTTATGCAGAGGAATATTTTTCACGAAGGTATACACTTAAATGCATTTGCCGGGGGGGCAGTGTACAAAGTCCCTGTAAGTCAGTCTTATCTTGTCTCTCCGTTCCATCAAAGGAGAGAAGAAAAAAAAGATTAAAGCCAAAAGCAAGGATTTTTGGGGTCCAGTGTCAAAGACCCAAACAGTCAAGATCATCTCCCTGGACCCCTTGAAACTCAACTTGGGCCTTGTCAAGGGCTCTTAATGCTTGCCAGCCCTGTACTTAGAGCCCAGGTATTCAGGTCAGAAGGTCGTACGCCTGTTGTGGAGCCATGGGTATTAAAATGGGGGATGGGTTGGAGTGGGGTTGGATAGTAAGGATGCTTCACGGTCAGCGCAAATGGATCCAAAGCTCCAGCAGGATGGATGTCTTGCGTAGCTGGTCATGGTTCTCTTTGCGGTCAGTGCTTCCTATTATTAAAGAAGTCTCTCTTGAAAAGTTTCGGTTGTCCTGGGTATATTTCTCTTGACACATATACACGCCAGCTTACTGTTATATTTTTTCATCCAGGTTTGTTCCTGCTTGAAAGATACTTAATCTTAATCTCACTGGATGTTTAGGAATTTGTATTTGGCTGAAAAAAATAGTTCTGCTTCCAATTGCCTGACTAACCCTAATTTTACGGTGTGACCCTTGACTTTTTAGCAGCAAGATAAAAAAAAAAGATTTGAAAATCATGTTGTCTCTTCTGTCCGTTTGAAACGTCTTTCAACAATTTTTTTACGTCAAAACTGCTTGTATTTATTATTTACCAACATGTACTTATGCTACATGTGCGGCATGTATGTTTTGAGAAGAAAATCCCATTTTTTATCCCAAGTTTGTTTCACAATTGTCGCAGTGACAACATGTACATCATAATGCTCAGTGAAGCAATGCTGTACTGCGTTGTGAACTAATGTTGCCAAAGAAGACACAATACAAATGGTCAGCCAAGTAGCATTACTACGTTACCATACTGCTGGGAGTTGCAGGCCAAAAGCATCAGTGGAGCCGATAATTCACCCAACTTGATCTGGTGTCCATGTTGTGTGTTTTCCTTGTTCTTGAATTTATTTTGAGGTTGCACCGCTTGTACTTGAAGCGAGCGTGTTTCCACAGAATGTCCTGCCACAAGAAGAGGTTCACTGCCCGACCTACTCATGCATTTACACTTTTAACCACCTGATCTACGGACATTGTTTTGCCAGTTTCCTGTCATTTCTAGAACTGTGTACAGCAGTGTGCACAACCCGAACCCTCTGTTAAGTGAAACAATGAATCGACCTGAAAAATCATTTTGCATTCATGAAGTCAAGTTTGCACCTCATGTGGAAGTTTTTCTGTAGCTTTCAAATGAAATGAAATGAAATACAT